TATATGTATGTATATGTATATGTATGTATATGTATATGTATGTATATATATGTGTATATATATATATGTGTATATATATATATGTGTATATATATATATGTGTATATATATATATATGTGTATATATATGTATATGTGTATATATATATGTATATATATTTATTTATATATATATATATATGTATATATATTTATTTATATATATATATGTATATATATATGTATATATATTTATTTATATATATATATATGTATATATATTATATATATTTATTTATATATATATATATGTATATATATTATATATGTATATAATTAGTTATTGAGTTGTAGTCTAAAAGTACTCAATATTACTTATGTATTGTAGTTTTAGTATAACTTCTTATACACTTTATATTTTACTCTTGTATTTCATCTTTTCTTGTTTACTTTTTCTATTTTAGTTGATTTTTTTACTTCTACATTTAATAATTGTTATTCTGTTGATCAAATATGTTTATATTCTTATTCTATAGTTTTTTATTCTTCTGTGGTAATATTTAATGAAACTCTTTATTCACTAAGAAAATAATGAGCTCTTTAGTTGTTTTATTATATTTTATTATGATTATTATATTTTATTATTATATTGTCATTATTATTATTGTTATATTTTATTATTATTATATTTATTATTATTACATTTTATTATTATTATATTGTATCATTATTATTATTGTTATATTTTATTATTTATATTTATGATTATTATATTTTATTATTACATTTTGTTATTATATTTTATTATTATTTTATTGTTATTATATTGTATTGTTATTATATTTTTATCATTATTATATTTTATTATTATTAAATGTATTATATTGTATCATTATATTGTATTATATTTTATTATATTTTATTATTATTATATTGTATTATTATTAAATGTATTATTAGTAGTATTATTATATTGTATTATTATATTTTATTATTATGTTTATTATTATTGATGCAGCGACATGAGATGTTTTTTAATGATGTCGCTCTTTAATGGAGGAAGAGGAAGAGAAAGAGGAGGAGGAGGAAGAAGAAGAAGAGGAGGAGGAGGAGGGGGAGGAGCTGCCCCTGTAGGCTCCTCCTCCTCCTCCTCCTCTCACTGACACAGCGGCGGAGGATCGAGCCGCACCTTTTTCTTCTCTCACAGCTCAGATCACTCCGCTCAGGTAACAACCCGCCCAAAGTAGACCGGAAGCAGGTGACGGAGTCTCCAGCACCGAGGAGGACGAACAGACAGAGAGGAACCGGAGGAACGGAGCCCCGACAGAACCGGAGCCAATAAACCCTTCGTTCTGATCCACCTGGACGGTCTTCAGGTCTGTTGGTTCTCGAACCAGGACCCGGACTTACTGGAGACACCTTCACGGACGCCCAAAGAAAAGGTGAGTTCATATTGTTCTTTGGTGTAATAGTAAGTGAACCGTCTCTGTAGTCCGGGTCTCCTCTAGACCCGGTCTGTCTCCAGTCCACATGAGGCGTTTCAGGTTCGAAGTGTGTCTCGTGCTGCTCAGGTGTGGTGAGTGTGTTAGTTACCTGAGCTACCTGATGTCCTCCGGCACCGTGTTCACCGAGTACTTTAAATACTTCAAGTGTAGAAATACACAAAATATATTCACGTTATTCTCCTAAAAACATCATAAAACCGAACATCTGTACATTTCAGAATCTGCTTCTAATCTGCAAATCGATGAATTCTTAAATTAGAATATTTAGAGATTCTTCATCATCATCATCTTCATCATCAGCTCCGGGTTTGTTTGATTTAAATCACTTCTAGACTCTTTAATAGTTTTGATTCTTTTGTTAAATGAAATCTGTTTTTCTTGTAGAAAATACAGAAAAAGTCTCTCATTACACATGTGGCACGTTTAGATTCTCCTCTGCTCTCTGTATCACGCACGCGCACACACACACACACACAGGTGAGCACACTCCCACCAGCGGACAGAGAGCGCACGTCGGAAAATACGTCGTCCACCAGCTGACAGCAGACACGGTGTGTGTTTTTAAGCGGGCTGCACAGAGACCAGCCTCAGCCCGCATGCGGATCTCAATCAATGGTTCAGATGGTTCTGACTTCCCACATCGAGAGGTTCTGGAGATGTTCTTCCAGAAGTCCAGAGAGATGCTGCAGTGACAAAAGCTGCACGCTTTGTGGATAATTGTCATAAAAAGAAATGTTGAGTTCAAAGTACAGTTCAGATAATAGTTCAGCTGTTGTGTTGAGTGTAAACCTAGAGGACCACGTGGTGCAGTAACCTGTGAGGTCACATTCAGGTCACTGATGAATAATCATCTTTAATATCATTTACTGTTTGTTAACAAGCTTCTTCTTCTCTGGTGTTTGACGCATTGTTGACTTTTTGTCGTTTTGTTTTTTTACCTTCTAGTGTGAACGGAGATATTTTGTAACGTTGAGGAAAATATCAATCGTCTCATTTATTAGCTCATCGACGACAAC